CTCTCTCTCCTTTCTTTTCTCTGTCTCCTTTCTCTTCTCTCTCTCTTTCTCTTTTCTCTCCTTTTTTTCCTTTCTCTTTTCTCTCCTTTCTCTTCTCTCTCTCTTTCTATCCTTTCTTTTCTCTCTCTCTTTCTCTTCTCTCATTTTTCTCTTCTCTCTCTTTCTCTTTTTTTATATATAAATTTTATTCCACAGGTACATGGTCTGTATAGTATAGTACAGTTTATCATGTTTATATGTGTGCTAAAATTTTCAATTAAAGGTCAAATTATCTATAGCTTTCCTTTCTCTTTCTCTCCTTTCTTTTTCTGTTCTTTCTCTTTCTCTCCTTCCTCTTCTCTCTCTTTCTCTCCTTTCTCTTCTCTCTCTTTCTCTCCTTTCTCTTTCTCTCCTTTCTCTTCTCTCTCTTTCTCTCCTTTCTCTTTCTATCCTTTCTCTTCTCTCTCTTTCTCCCCTTTCTCTTCTCTCTCTTTCTCTCCTTTCTCTTCTCTCTCTTTCTCTCCTTTCTCTTCTTTCTCTCTCTTTCTCTTCTTTCTCTCTCTTTCTCTTATTTCTCTTTCTCTTTCTCTTTCTGTTTTTAACCTTTCTCTTCTCTCTCCTTTCTCTCTCTTTCTCTTCTCTCTCTCTTTTCTCTTCTCTCCCTCTTTCTCTCTTTTCTCTTCTCTCTCTCTTTCTCTCTCTCTTTCTCTCTTTTCTCTTCTCTCTCTTTCTCTCTTTTCTCTTCTCTCTCTCCCTCTCTCTTTCTCTCTTTTCTCTCTCTTTCTTTCTCTCGTTTCTCTTCTCTTTCTCTCTTTTCTCTTCTCTCTCTCTTTCTTTCTCTCGTTTCTCTTCTCTTTCTCTCTTTTCTCTTCTCTCTCTCTCTCTCTCTTTTCTCTTCTCTCTCTCTTTCTCTCTTTTCTCTTCTCTCTCTCTTTCTCTCTTTTCTCTTCTCTCTCTCTCTTTTCTCTTCTCTCTCTCTCTCTCTTTTCCCTTCTCTCTCTCTTTTCTCTTCTCTCTCTCTTTCTCTCCTGTCATTTCTCTCTCTTTCTCTTTTCTCTTCTCTCTCTCTTTCTCTTTTCTCTTCTCTCTCTCTCTCTTTTTTTTTCTTCTCTCTCTCTCTTTTCTTCTCTCTCTCTCCTTTGTCTTTCTCTCTGTTTCCTTTCACTCCTTGCTGTCTCTCTTGTCTCTTTGCTTTCTCTCCTTTCTCTTTCTGTCCCTTTCCTTTCCTTCTTTTTCTCTCCTTTCCTTCTTTTTCTCTCCTTTCCTTCATTTTATCTCCTTTCCCTCTCCCTCTCTCCTTTCCCTCTCCCTCTCTCCTTTCTCTCTCTCTCTTTTGCTTTTTCTTTCTCTCTCTCTCTCTCACTTCTCTCTTTCTCCCCTTTCTCTCTCTCTCTCTCTCTCTCTCTCTCTCTCTCTCTCTCTCTCTCTCTCTCTCTCTCTCTCTCTCTCTCTCTCTCTCTCTCTCTCTCTCTCTCTCCCCCCCTCTCCCTCTCCTTGCTCTCTCTTTCTTTCCTTTCTCTCTCTTCGCTCTTGCTCTCTTTCTCTCCTTGCTCTCTCTTTCTCTCCTTTCTCTCTTTCTCTCCTTTCTCTCTCTCTCTCTCTTTCTCTCTCTCTCTCTGTTTCTTTCTTTCTTTCTCGCCTTTCTCTCCTTTCTCTCCTTTCTCTCTCTCTTTCTCGCCTTTCTTTCTCTGTTTCTCCTAATATCAAATAATAAAAAGGGGCGTTTTAAAGTTATGTGACGTGTTGTTAGACGAAGGAAACCAAAAGATATGCACTTAGCGGCCTGGTATTTTTAACTGATTCCAATGGTTTTGTCGTTTAATTTGTAGTTTCAAGATGTTAATAATTTGTATAATTGTATTAATAACTTGTATAATTTGTATTTATTGCTATTTTCTAATGAAACATCAGTAAAACATTGATTAGCTATTTAATATAACTTTAAAATAAAAAGTTTCGTCAACTTGAGTACGATTACTGGGAATGAGGTGGTGTTGAACTTTTGGCACTGCATAATAACATTGGCATCATGGCTGTCACGAGTGGAAATGAGGGTTCAGTATTGCTATCAGTATTATCAGTATCATCATCAGTTTCATCATCGTTGTCAGTGTTGTCACAGGCATGATCATGACCATCATTTATCACCAGGCAGTCATGATGATCATCATAATTATTATCATAATTCATCAATCTTCTTTCATAATAACTCATGTATCATCAATACCCCTAGCACCATTATTCATTATCATCACAATCAATTATCATCATCAAGGAGTTATATTTCTATTATTCTTTTAAAGCTTACATACTGTTTCAGATTGTTTCGTACAGTGTAGGTATACTTATTTGAGAGTTGATTAGCTTCACTTACTTTTACTTTTCTTTGAGATTCCCTTCACGATTTTCTTCAATATTTCCTTAAGAGAATTTGTTTTAACCAATCATAAAATCATCATCATAGGTACAAATAGGAAATTCTGGGCTGACTAAGGATCAGAGTAAAATAAAAGTGCAGAGCTTAGTAATTTCCTTTATTGGCCTTTCTACGTACACTAACTTTAACAATGAAGAGTGAGGAAGGATGTCAGACTGGCACTTTGCGGCAATGACTGTCAATATCCCACAACACCATCGGTTCTTTTGCATGTACTCAGGTTAATGTCTTCACTCACATGTCTCTCATGTACATATAATTATCAAAATACAGAAAAAATCAAGCCTTTCTATATTGCAATCAGTTTTACATTATCAAAATGAGTTTAATAAAACTGCTACATTAACCTGAGTATGTATCTCAAAAGGAAATTGTAACCAATGAGTTCTTGTTAAGTCTGATTTTGTTGTTTTCATTGTTATTATATTAAAGACCACTTCTGTGGTTGTGATGGGTTTGACTTCATGCCTATCATATGCCTTATGAAGTGTCATCAAAGAAAAAAGTGACATTTTGATGGTAATAAAACCTGATTTTGCACTGAAAGCCGAGTTATACCCAAAACTGACAACATCCCATAGATAATTTTAATAATACTTTATACATTGAATCACTAGATAATAGTGACTGAATAAAATTTTCTCGTAAAAATTATACTAGCCGCCTTAACTCTAAACACTGGACACAGTACTAGTCCAAAGAAAATAATCAGCCTAAATAATTTTCTCACAATACCCCTTACATGTCTACAGACCTTGGACAATAATCACCAACACTCCTCCAATACAATATCTCTGATAAACATTTCTTGGGCTGCGATTGGAGGTTTACAACTCCTGCCCTCTACCAAAGCAGGTTTTGTCAAGCACCAATGATGCTCAACCCAAAGGGCAATGCCAGTGCATTGAACTATAAAAGCAGAAACAAGTCTTGCAAAAGTAAACTAGAATCGCATATTTGCCACAATCAATAGTGATCAATTATTCCTCCAAGTGCACATCCATGAACATGGAAAAAAGGTTACCATCACAAATTTGTAGAAAAGAAAATGGTATATGTGCAATTGAATATTATAACTTGCCAAAATAATGATAGGCTAATTCTAAATATTCATATCAAACAACATAACTGCAAGACAGCAGCAATTGAACATTGATGCTAACTGCAGTTTCTTAAATTTATACAAGTCACTCAAGCACATGATATCCACTAGAAAGAGAACTGCCCCTCACTTGTGGAACATTGGCTTTATATTACATGGACAGTGAGCTTGGTAATTACTATTTACAACGTTCTGAGCAGCTATCACAAACACAACTGATGGAGGGAATGGTTGGTTAGTTTCAGTGCCAAGCTTGCCGAGGGGTCTTGAGCTGTGATTTCTACAAAAAACTCATTTCTAAATTTTTAATATATGCTTTACACAATGGGAAACTCTGTAGGATGAATCACCTCTGTCATAGAAAGGCTAATACATAAGCTTGAAAATGCATAAATAAGACAATACACATGCCTTTAAAATTATGTAAGGAAGGTATTAAGCTTGTGGAATATCAAATTTCAATTATTTACTCATGACCTGCAATAACTAATGAAATCTACTGCTTAATTTTATTTAAGGATATATATATTTATATATTTATTAATAGCATAAAAGAAACTTTTAGTGAAGTATATTACAAAAGAATCTGTCCTTTTTTTAACCAGCATTTATGTATGAAATAAGGAAAATATGAAAGCTGACACTAACATTCTGGTACATACTCGCTCAGTGCTAGTTTATAGAAAGATTGCGTGTTTCAAATTCAGTGCTATGGCTAATTAACCTTACTGTAGTCTTCATACTATATTACCCACCTGTGGTTTTGCAGTCAGAGGAGCTCCTTTCAAAGTCCTATTTCAATATTTTATGCATATGGCTGTTATAACCATTTACAAGAACTGAAGATGACTTATCACCCACAAGAAGTACAACTGTTTAGCATCTGGATTCCTTCAAGTCTACACTACACTTGTCTTTATCTTAATCAGTTGCCTTCATTAGATTTTGGTGCCTATATTTCTTATAAGAACATCTGGCAATGATAAAAAATGACCCCTTGTTTTGGCACAGCGACACCTGACTAGAAGCAACACCTGGGCTCTTGTAAAATTATTGCCGTAACAAATGCCGTAACGAATCTTTATCATTAGTCTATGATGCATGACCAGCAGTAATGAGTGTTAAACTTGGTTCAGATAACACTTACATTTTCCTACCACTACAGAAAAATATGCTTTATTGACATACATAATAGGCTCTTCAGATTATAAAAAAGGTAAGTACATCTTCATGTTTGTCATGTCGAGTGTGGTATCGATAGATTCATCACTTGGTATTACTGGATATTCTAGTTCCCTAAAACTAGATTCCCTCTGACAGAAAAGATAGAAACACTGAAACAAACAAGGTAACTAAATGTTTTACCTGTAAATCCCATTACAATGTGCTAACATTGTAGCATATGAAAGAGCCCACTATGTAAGTTATGATGTGATTTTTGCGGTGAAGATGTTCATATGATTAAGCAAACAAGAACAGGCTCAATATCTGAAATCCATTTAGGATGTTTATCAGGAAGTAACACCAAATCCCAAAACTGACAAACTTTTATCTTTAATATTAATGCTCTCTAGCAAACCCAAACACTACAGCTAAAAATGCTAATAAAGATTCATCAATGTAAGTACAGTCTGTCTATCACAAAGCCTAATGAGCTTCAAGGTATTTGAAAAGTCAATCAACCTAGTTTAAGCTCATGTGCTCACAAAATAAAAGATGGCAACTACATATAAAAGACAAATTATTTTTTCCTTTTTGCATACTTAACAGTAATTTAAGCTTGGCAGTCTTACCCACTTAATATTCAATCATTGCAATTAAAACATCCAGTTACAGTAAAAACACTTTCTTGTATAAGTCATCAGTAAAAGACTAATGACTACTATTCTGATTCTCTTAAAAACAGTTGCTAAAAAGATTTCCATCTTCCATTTTTCCAGTCAATCTGACCTGTAACATGTAACTTACATATAGTATATGTAATGACACAAAGGAAACCATGGAAGCAGGTTAACCAATCATCAGTATGACAAGAGCTTTCTCATATTGATTTGAATATACATCTAAATCTCTTGGTCTTGCTTCTTCTACCTATTTTGCAATGTTTCCTGTTCTTGTGCGGTCAACATTGGGAATGATAAGTACACAAGGGAAGTGTTCAGTAACGTTGCTGGAACTCGTGGTGCCAGCGGTTGAAGTCAATGTGGAACACAACAATGGATCCAGTTGACAAACCAGCCATCAAGAATCTGCAAAACAGAAGTAATTTTAATAAAACTTTTGATCCTATCTTAAAAAGGATATAAAATATGATAATGGATGATTCCAAACTCCAGAATAACCAAACCTATTACAGCTGCATACCTCTGATCATGTGAAAGTGCAAGAGATCTGATTGCAGAGTCACAGGTTGGGAAGGCATACAGAAGGGCAAGAGAGAAAGTGCGCCACACTTCAACAATACCCTTGTCTCCTCCAGTCATCATGTATTCTCCATCACGGCTCAGGATAACACACTGAAAATGGATCTCAGGTTAAACAAGGAATTCTCAAGAATACCATGTCCAGTAAATAGGGTGAAGACTAAATCTACACTTAATCTAATGCTACTACTTCAAATAATAATCATATACATCATCTTAGCACTAACCTGAATGTTATCATTGTGGGATTCATGTCGCAGTCTCTTTCCATTCATGGTATAGGCACCCACATGTCCTCGATCATAGTTAATGACTATCAAGCCCTCACGAGACAGGGCAACATTTTCAGGAGAGAGGAAACCATCTGGTGCTTCTAAGGACCTCAACAAATCTCCAGATGTGGTGTGAATAAGAACAGGTCCATCTAGAATGTAAAGGATTTTTATATAAGGAAAAATTATATAATTATTAAAAAAAAATGGATTAGATGTTGAGGTTCATTTCTCTGAAGTTTATGAATCTTTACAGATGATATGTTATACATATAGTCATATTCCAACTTTTAGTCAATATTTGGTTATAGAATAACAATACTGAAGCTTTATGTTAGCAAGTATATCTGTGTTATATAAAAGGAAATTACTGATTACTTTAAAATAATGACAACAACAGCAGCTGTAAACTGTATATATATAAATATAGGGACAGCAAATGATGTATCAAGGGAAATTAATGAACTGTGCCCTTACCCTTTGAGCCTGATACAACAAGACCAAGCTCAGCTGAGATGACAACAGCTGTGACCTCTGTCTCATGTCCAGTTAGTGTTGCTCGTGGTGTTGGTGAATCTCCCTCACCCATAATCATCTACAGGTAAGATGTATCAATTGGTATCATATAATGAATAAGGATGTAAAAATAAACATTTATCAACAAACTGTGGTTAATGATAGATTCAGTTGAAGGAATCTGATACATGGATTTTTTTTAAGAGAGAGCTATATGTTATTTGTATCTAGATTATACAAGTGGAGGGTAACCTGTGGTTCATGACCAAAATAATAATATTAGTGCAGAAATAAAATTATTTCCTGCCTGGGTACAGGCTGGTTTCACATCCAAATTTTCATCCAATTTCAGTAACTTTATATTCAGAATAGGTCATAATTACATTAAGACAAACTGATTACTTTGATATGCATACCTGTGTCCGTGCATTCCAGTGCCACAAGAGAACTGTGCAGTCATGTGCCCCTGATGCTACATAGCAGTCACTGGTGATGTTACATTCACTGCGACTCAGGCATGTAACCACACCATAGTGACCAAATACTATCTGCACAATCTTTGCTGTTGTTGGAAAAAGTAATTTGTCAGTTGTTACATAAAATTAGTTTTTAAATCCATACAATGAGAATTTTGTTTCACAATACTAAACTGCTCTTTATTTTTCTACACTGAAATACCTGTTTCTGTAGAGAAGACACGGAAACTGTTGTCCCAAAAGCCGCAGGCAATGATGAACCTTGAGTCCACTGTTGTAACAAAGCAGTTGCTCCTCATGCGAACCTTTTGACTGAAGTTGTCTCCCAGGTGACGCTTCTGCTGTTGGCTACTGCTGTTGCCTGTTGCAGCTTGTTCTGCAAAGAGGAAATGGGCAATTAGATCTATAGTCCACAAAATACACACACATACTTTAAGAGATCAGAATTCTTATCTAAATTCTAATGAATGCATGTTACTGGTGACATAACAGGTATTTTCAATAAATTAATGAGCAACTTACGAAGGACGGGATCCATGGACAGAGGCAAGAGAGTGGACGGTGACTGGCTTCCTTCAGCATAGCTGGGACTCTGTACATTCACTGTAAAAAAAAATAAAAATAAAATAATAAAAAAATAATAAAATAATAATAATGATAAATGATATGCATCTGTATGGCTTTATACACCATTTGCATATGTAAAAATTATAAATGTAGAAAACATATGAATGAGAATAAATATCTAACACAATACACCTCCAAATATGAAAATACAGTACCTGAATAGTTGGTGTTCCAGCGATTGATTGCGAAATGATGGTTGTTTGTGATGGTGACAACAGATGGAAGAGGAAGCTGAGGGTAAGTATTAGCAGAGATATGACAGATGGGAGAGTTGCTCACAAACTTCATAACCATACACACGTCCTCGCACACACCAGAGAACATCAGAGGTGACTGAAATAAAAAACAAACATTAGTTGCTTGTAGCTGTTTGGAGATTAACCCACACAGTTAGAACTTCTTCACTTTACTGACTGCAAAATATACAAATTTGATCTGCTATTTCATTACTAATATTATCAAAGTGCTGGTACAAATCCAAATCAGTTTATGATCAATATATAAACATTAACCTATTGTCACAAGTTCTTACAACTGGTTCAAATTGAAGAGACTTACTAAGTGCATAGCAGAGGAGCGAGGTGGATGGGGCTCCATTAACAGCTGTGAAGGTGTCTGTCCAAAGTTTCTTATCTGATTCTCAATTGCCTGAGGATGGGATATAGATTCAGTAATAGGTAAGCATTATAGATTTCATAAAACCTATACAGTTATACAACCTGTACAAATTTTCTCTAGTCATGATTAATACATGCATACAAGATAATTTGTATATGCATATACAAATTAACAATAATACAAAAAAAATCCAATTACTAACCTCCCTCATCACAGGATCCTGTATAGAATCCAAATCTACAGATCCTTCATAGGTGAGGTAGTAGAAGACATTGGTGGCTCGTACAGCCTCGGGTCCACGTTGTTTGTAGCCGAAGATGAGGTCAATCCACTGGTGAAGCTGGCATGATACAAATTCAGACTCCAGCGCCTGTGGACAAAAAGCAAAACTGATGAAATCCTGCTTCATTTATTTATTTTACTGCCGGAAGCAATAGAATGCCATGGGCTCTTAGGAAGGGGAGACTGAGGCCTAATGTAGGGGATCACCCCCGCCTTGGACCGCAGCCCTCGCCTCAACTAATTTTGCAAGGTCTTTCCTTCTCCCTCTTTCTTTTTCCTTCTCTTCTTCATCCCCTTCTTCTATCCAATTACCCTAATCGTTAATTCATCTTTACCCTTTTCGCCACAATACTATCATAATGCTATATTTCGCCCCCAAGCTCCACCTGTCGCTATATTTTGAATACACCGCATTTGACCTTAGATGTTGACGCGGCAGATTTTTTTCCATAAATAAATAAACAACCACAGAATACAACACCTAAAAATGGCAATCACGTAATATATACTTCCATGACTCGACAATCATAACTGACTGATATGACATCTAATAGAGAAGTTAATACTTTTCCTCTTCCCCAAACCGTACCATTCTGTTGATGCGGATAAATTCCTCTGGTGAAGAAGCCCAAGGTGGAAGAACCACATCATCGACAATTCCATCCTCTTCCGTTGCTCCAAGTTTGTATCTGTTCCAGTTCACAAACATCTCCGGTAGGTAGTAAAACTCTGGGATGAGTTCCTGTACACCAAAAAGAATATGTTACCATCGAGTTTCAGAAAGACATATCTCTTCAAGGAAAGCATGGATGAAAGCAGTTTCTATAATACACTTGTACTTGAGATCATTATACGATTCTTTCCTGACCTCTTAACAATATACATAAACATATATACAGTATGGTATTCGTCACCCCTGTATGTATTTTTTCACTTTACTTTACATCAATAAACACATGCTTATTCTATTCTCTCTCACCTTGACATCAGAAGTGTCTCGCTGACAGTTCTTCCAAGCTGTGGCGACTGAGGAGAACATGCGGTTCGGGTGGTCGAACTTGCCTCCTTGCAGGGCCAGGAACATGGTGGTGAAGGGTTCCTGGAAATAGAATAACAGAACCATTATTATATGAAATTCTTTATAATTCACCTAAGCAATGGAAAACATACCTTCGTAAAAATCCAATTATTAATAGAAATCAATAAGTCACATCAGCATTTTACTCCAAAAGTGGAGAAACGCAATGCTGAACTTGTATTATGCAAAAAAAAAAAAAAAAAAAAAAAAAAAAAAAACATTATCCAAGTTATCCAATCACTTACAAGTCTAATGAGCCAGTTGAGAGTGAAGGCCGCGGTGGAGTAGTGAGTGCCGTAGTGGAAGGGAGGAATCTGGTCGTGTTCCCAAGAGTTGTAGCGTTCCTCGAAGAAGGCGCGGCGCGAGGGGTTCAGGGCGCCGATGGGCTGAAGAGGAAGGCGGAAGAGAAATTAATTGGAGCACAAATATAATGTCGGTTAAGTGTAAATTCGTTGATGCATGTGTACAGGAGGCGGTAACCGGTAAATTAACTGATGGGTGTGTATAGTGCCAATAATAGGTAAATTAAGGGCAGGATTCTTCTAACAACAGGTGAATAGATCAATTGGAAGATATTTGAGAATCTGCCAGTAATGAAACCACAGATGCTACTATCGGATAAATTAATTAGCATGTACCCCCCAAAAAATGGAACTAATCAATATATCAGCTGGTCATCGTACTTACACATCACAATCTTCCCCATCAAATATAAACCACAACCATGATATTACATAAAGTGTGATACAAAGCCATAAACAAAGGAAACGTTGCCCCACCTTGGATAAGTCTCTGTAGTTGGACGGTTGGGAAAGGTCAAGTTCGTGTGTGTCGAAGTTGGTGAGGACCCAGGGGAACACCGGGTACTGGTTCAGGTCATTGTAGGTCCGACCTGTGAAGAAAAGGTTGGGCTATCATATGAAATACTGGAGAAAAAATCCAACTATTGTTGTTAGTAGCAGGGAAAACCTAAAGATGGACGTCACGAGGATTTTAGAATAACTATGGTAAAACAGAAAGAGAAAAAAAAAACGATACGCCATAAAAATATAAAAAAATAAACACAACATAAACCCAAAGTAATCACCTGCAATCGTGTTCAGGAACATCAAGTACTCGAAGTTGGAGATCTCGCGGCGCTGCCACTTCTGCGTCATGTTGGATGCGCGGAAGAGCTGCCTCGGGGACATCATGGAGGCTCTTCGCGTCTGCGGGATGCCATACTTGATGCCCACACCCACGCGGGGCAGCGCCTTGGCCACGCGCTTGACCGTCGTCTGGTCGGGGAACGCGAAGAACACCGACGCTGCAGGGGAGGTGGCATCGGCGGAGGAAGGGGGGGGAAAGGCCGTGTGCATTAGTTTTGCTTGATACGGTTACGTTGTTGGGCGAAAGACGGAGTTAAATAGAGGGACAGGGAAGTGTGGAAGAGGGAATGATGAAGGTAGCGGCGGAGGGAGAACAGAGAGAGAACAGAGAGAACAGAGAGAGAGAGAGAGAGAGAGGCAGAGAGAGAGAGAGAGACAGACAGAGAGAGAGAGAGAGACAGACAGAGAGAGAGAGAGAGACAGAGAGAGAGAGAGAGAGAGAGAGAGAGAGAGAGAGAGAGAGAGAGAGAGAGAGAGAGAGAGAGAGAGAGAGAGAGAGAGAGGGGGGGGGGGCGGATAGAGAGATACGGTGAGAGAGAGAGAGAGAGAGAGAGAGAGAGAGAGAGAGAGAGAGAGAGAGAGAGAGAGAGAGAGAGAGAGAGAGAGAGAGAGAGAGAGATTATTTTCTGCATACTTCCGAATTCCCAAGGAATCGATCAGTATCATATATGTATTATTTCATTTAAATAAGATACAAGTTCAGTGTTAGCGCAAATGCATTCTATGTTTCAGTTATTTATTAATTTTCATTCATATTTCATTTTCAATTATTAGTTTATTTTTATTTATGCATTTATTTCATTTATTCATCTCACTAATTTAATCATTATAATATTTATAACATTAATAATAATAATAATAATAATAATAATAATAATTATTATTATTATTACTATTAGCATTATCATGATTATTATTATTATTAGCATTATCATGATTATTATTATTATTAGCATTATCATCATTATTATTACTAGTATTATCATTTATCAATATCTCTATTCATTTTTTTTTTGTTTTTGCGTATGCATATGTGTGTGCATGTCTGAGTGAGCACGCGCGCGCGAGCCCTTACGCACATACACTGAGCATGTGGATAATTATGTGTGTGCGTGTGCGTGTCCGTGACTGCGAGATCCAGACGGCCAAACTTACTCCTTGAGGCGAGGAAGATCTCGAGGGCGGTGTTCTGGAGGAGGTAGCGCCGGCTGAAGATGGCGCGCACCTCGCTGAAGTGCCATTTCCCGTGCACATGTTCGCAGTACTTGACCACCTGCAACAAGAAGGAAAAATAATTAGATTCGTCATCTTTTGTCATCTTTAAAAGGGAAACAAATTTCTTATCTGCATAACACGTATTGCGAGATGTTAGATGCGGGAATTAACACTGCCAATCTAGTCGTTCGTATTTTCCTATTTTATTATTCAATCACTTATAAAAAGAATTCAATCAAACAATTGAAATTGTGATATTCATAAAAGGCCCTTTATACTGCTCTGGCGAGATCTTATAATTAATAGTATAAATAAATAAAAGAATAAAACTATAATTTACACTGATTTCTGAGGGAACTTCAAGTATTATTTGAACAAAGTGTTCTTATTCATATCATATCTCAAACGAGTTATTTATAATACCTATTTAATATACTATGTATTGCATGTCCTTAGTTCCTGATTCTTACATTTGTGGAGGTAAAAGTCCATAACCAACCTCCTTACACTTCAAATATCAAACAAAAAGGTCAACAACAACAAATAAACACAACACCCACTTTGCCAGCAACAACGGATCAACAGGAAAAAGTCAAATCCCGAACCAAAAGCCAGCGGCAGGGATCACACGGGGGGAGGGAGTGGGGGGGTCCAAGCACCTCTCTATCCCCCTCATCCCCCCTCTCCCCCGCCTCCGCCCCTGCCTCCCACAGCCGCTGCGCCGCCCTTCACGCCTTCTGCCCCTGCGCGGGAGTGAGGGAGGGCCGTGGGAGGGGAAACATGCAGGATCAATACGGCGGCGGAGGCGGCCCCCGGCAGACATTTGCAAGGTGCACCACCCAAGCTGTCCAAGATGGCCGACGACGCGATCGGGTCGGGGAGGCTTTCGGCACGGAGGACTCGCTTCCAAACTGATATTCACAAAATCTAAAATATTTAAATGTGTTTTCCCATAGCACTACAAAACGGCTTTCACAAGCGCTACGTGACGTTCTTCTGTCCACAAACCTCTATGAGTCCTGTAGATAGATGAAATTTTCGACCGCCCCCCCACAAAAAAATAATTCAGAGTCACAACCAAATTACCAGAATGATCAAAATCCATCGGGATTCCTCCGCGCAGCAGTGACGATTACGCCGACATAAGCGAGAACCGCCAAGAAAATCTCCCGAGACAATGCGAGACGAGGCACAGGTGAAGGCGGTCACGTGACCCTGCCAAACAAAGGAATCGGCCTAGGACGGGTTATGACATCCAGCGCTGACAGCAAAGACGTTACGAAACACGCAAAAAATTTCCTTGTCGTCTCAGGGGGCCGCCGCTCGAGACAAATGATGATCAAAAATAGAATAAGTGACACGAAAATGATCGTATGATAGGGAAGGGAGCTGTCACGGCGTTGGGGCAAAAACAAAGGCGTTTAAAAGGAAAAACTAATTACTTTTTCGTATTTTATATGTGCACAAGTCGAGCAAAGATCCCTGAAGTCGATCACAAGCGATTGTATACTGAAAGAAAAAAACTATTCCACAGAGCTAAACAGAAGTGCGCGTTATTAACAAAAGTAACGCGCATTATTTCCAATAATATTCAATACCATCCCTGTGAATGGTGTGTTTTATAATAATGCACCTTCGTCGCATTAAAAGCAATCAGAAGCGCGTACTATATCTGATTCCAAAAGAATTATCGCGAGTTAGTTTTTACTCTCACAACGAAACTTAATGTGAAGTATAATTAATCTGAAACGAAACAGACCTTTCAAAAATCGGCAAATCTAAACCAAAGACATTACCCTGAACTACCACTAAGTAACAATTATAAAGTGAGCGTTGCGACAGAACAAGAAGCGCATTTTTAAAAAGAAAGAAAAAACAAAAAAACAAAAGAATACCTTGGTCGTGAATCGAGAGAACGCATTAAAGCAACTACGCTTGTCGCACTGATATACGAGCACTTGTAAAACCAACGACAGGCTCGAATGATTAGGAAACACAAGCGTTATTCTGAACAAGTGTTACACAGAACATTTGTGCATAAGAGAGAACTCTCCTTAAGAGGGAATTGTCTGTGTGGTGGGATTCGCCATTAACCATCATCGCCAATGGTAACGAACTACAGGACACATTACGATGACGCCACCATTAATAACGACAACAAAATTACCATTAATAACCAAAACAAAATTTACCATTAATAACCAAAACAATATCAAACATTATCTACTGAGGGCATAATCTACCCGCTGATCATATCCTGAAAATGACTAATATGTTACAAACAGTTATTCATCAGCAGCGAGGGAAAATGTATAAAACAAACCAAGTATTGATAATAGATAAGGGGCGTATATCATATGAAGAAACAGTTGCCACATGTGAGGGAATACTTTTGTTGAGAGCAGTGGCAATTTTCTTAAAAATAAGAATAAGAGTATAGAAGGATAAGGATTATATGACGAAGAAAGGAAATAAATGACAAAAGTAAAATAGCGAACTTGAAAGCGCCACCACATTTTATGACAGAAAATTGCTTTAATGTCTAAGAAAAAATCGTAATGCCTTATACAACCGAAACTACGGCGTTAAATTTTCCTATGTGCACTTTGAAAATACAAATTGCAAAACTGCGCGAAAAAAAATAGCCTTGAATTATACCAAAGCGACATGAATTACAATACTCGAAATAAATCATAAAAAAATCTAAAAGTTATCAAACCAACGTAACTCGAAAGCAAACATACAGAACAAAAAGTCACGAAGAAAAAGTAAAGAAACGTTTGCGCATGTATCCCCCGCCCCAACAAAACGACCAACACTTTTCATATTCTCGGCTCGTTAACCGTCACCCAAAAACAAACATACAGATGGACATGCTTCGTAAGACAAATATAAAAAAAGGGAAAAATAACACGAAAACAAAGCCTGTGGGTGCAATAAGAGCAAGCTAGTTCCGAAGGCGCGGGGACATCAAACGGACCAACATGGCGGCCGCACCACCTGTCGCCCCATCTCGCCGCCGCTGTCACAACAACAGCCCGGCGGCGTCCGAGTTACAAAGCCCCCGCGCGCATTTACAGGACCCTTTCCTGCAGTACTCTCCCGGTTCTTTGGCGACCCGCTTTATCGCTCCTGTGACAAGATAATTCTATGTTATGCGCCCCGGTTATCTGAAGATAAATAGGAGGAATATTTGACGTTCTGACTCACTCTTTGCCAGACGGCGGACTTCACACGGCCCTTGCGACGCCTTGGGACATTAAGCGGCATTTCCCTTTCACGATTTTTTAATAAAACTTAATTCATAAAACGACAAAAATGCCTCAATTGTATCCAATGAATTACAAAACCAACGTTTTTTTCTTATATCTTTAAACACACGGCAGTTAACTCTACAAACTAAAGTCAAAAAAATAATCCGAAAAAAGGGACATTAAAAAGCAAGGGACTAAAAACCTTCTCCCTGCCACCCCGGCCACACATAAATGTCAACATACCATTAAGACGAAACCCAAGTCTGATCCAACACGCCACAAACACCACCACGCTAATCCCTTCGCCAGGACCTCGCTTATCTTAACCACCGCACGCCCAACCGCCTCCCGGCCGCCCACACGCCCGCATATTTGCACTCTATGGCTCCCCATACAGCTTTTATCGGCGCTGCAGGGAGGGGGGGGAGGCACTCTGGTGACATCATCGGTCCACAACTCACATATTCATTTAAAACTCTTTTTAACACTTGTTTTTAATGCCAATCAACAATGGTTAGGATTACTAACACTTAATAATTCGAAGCATTAGAATTATTAATACCACACAGTATTTTTGGACGATTTCGAATTTTCACAACGTATTTAACAACAAACAAATAATAATAAAACAAATCTGAGATACAACCTGTACCTCTTTCACAAACAATAAAGCGAAAGTAAGATAGGTTTTATTCATTTTTTTCCAAACTATACCAACATGAACTTTCGAATAATATGCTAGTATGTCCAGCAATAAAAATAATGATGATAATATGGGTGGTAATGATATTGTTAATACTATTATAATAATAATAATAATAATAATAATAATAATAATAATAAATAACATTAATATTAATAGTAACAACAACAACGATAACAAAAATAAGAGTAATGATGGTAGTAGTCATACTATATTGATAAGGATAATATGTCTACTAATAACAACAATATCAACAATAATTTAAAAAATAATAGTGATAACAACAACAATAATAATGATAATAATAATAATGGTGGTAGTAGTAGTAGTAGTAGTAGTAGTAGTAGTAGTAGTAGTAGTAATAATGATAATAATAATGATAATAATAATGATAATAATAATGATAATAATAATAATAATAATAATAATAATAATAATAATGGTAATGATAATACTAGTAATGATAATCTGTATAATAATAAAAATAATAGTAATAATAATGATAATAATAATAATGACAGTAAAAATTAACAATATGATCAAAATTTACTTTCCCGTTATTCCCCTCATTAACAACACTAGCGTTATAAATAAACACTATAACATCAGATTCAAAACTCACTGATACGCACTGCAACGAGAGAAACAGCTGTTGACACCGACCACTGCTGTCGATACCTTATACCTTGAACAACATCCAACGTGCCAATTTTCTTGCACTGTCTTACCTATTGCAATCGGGTGCAAGTGACGACTCGGTGTTGATCGGAAACAAGCACTGTACACTTCGGGCACTCACTCACGTATGTCGTACACCACGTTTCTGTTTCTGCAATATCTTTCCCCGTCTCTTTCTCTCTCTTGTGCACACGCGCACACTCGGATGTACACACGTCGGTTCTTTTCCCTTTCATTTTTATCCTTTCTCTCTTTCTCTTTCTCTCTGTTCTTTTTCTTAACTTTATTTTTTTTTTGTCGATGTCTTATTTTATCATTGTTCCTATTTTTGTCTTTGCTTTTATCATCCTCGATGTTACTGTACTTTTATCACTCTCTCTCTCTCTCTTTCTCTCTCTCTCTCTCTCTCTCTCTCTCTCTCTCTCTCTCTCTCTCTCTCTCTCTCTCTCTCTCTCTCTCTCTCTCTCTCTCTCTCTCTCCCTCTCTCTCTCTCTCTCTCTCTCTCTCTCTCTCTCTCTCTCTCTCTCTCTCTCTCTCTCTATTTAAAGATCTCCCTCTCCCTCTCCCTTTCTCTCTCCCCGTACGCTCGCGTCCCGACCCTCCTCTCCGAGTGCAGGCCTCGGCGTAACCCGGAGTTAATGGGAAGTCGGGGAATCTGAACCGGAACAAATCGAGTTAGCTGGAGGATCGGATACTGAGGCTTTCCATGCGATCTCGAACGCCCCTCCAAACCGTAGGAGCGTGGGGGGTGGGGGGGTTACGCATATTTCACTACGGGAAAGAGAAAAAGAAAGGGAATAAGAGAGAGAAAGAAAAAAAAAAAGAAAAAAAAAAAGAGAAATGCGCTGTATGTAGCATCTATCAACATCAACTAAAATGCTGAACTGAGATGACAGGGACCATGTACGCAACGAGAATAATAACTATTTAATTATATCCTGAGGATATTTAAAATCACGGACCAGCCGTAAATTACGTCATCCAAAATGGCTGTCATTTCAATCTCTCTCTCTCTCTCTCTCTCTCTCTCTCTCTCTCTCTCTCTCTCTCTCTCTCTCTCTCTCACTCTCTCTCTCACTCTCCCTCGCTCCCTCCTTTCCTCCGAATACTTGTATCATTTTCCCATCCTCATTTCTTCCCTCTCTCCTCCCCCTTTCCACGCTCTCTCTCCCATTCCTCCCCTCCCCCCGACTATGGATTCAATACGGCAATGATAAACAGAACACCGAGGAATGGTACCATACTAACTGGATTAACCATGAGGGGAAAGTAGGGGAGATGACGTCACAGGGGGGTTGGGGTGGGGTTGGGGGTGAGGGAGGGGAGAATGATCATGCTAAAGGGAAGAGAGGGACGAGGGAGTTGTTGTTGTTGTTGTTGTTGTTGTTGTTGTTGTTGTTGATTTTGTTGTTGCTAATTGAATGCCTGATTCCAATGTTACCTTCTATACATTTCTTGAAAAAAAAAAGAAGACCAACAACAATAACGAAAGAAATAGATTTTAAAAAATGAAGTCACATCCGAAAATAATTCGCATAAAATGACTCCTGCTTTCTTCCTTCTCACCCACGCCCACCCTCCGCCCTCACGCCCACAAAGACTACCCGAGAAAATATGGATCCCAGGCACATAGCAAGGGTCCGCCCACACATTACCGCCCATCATTACGTCCCGTATTAATGGGCTCAACCTATTTACATGACATTTATGATGAAGGTGAAGATGGGAGGTAAATGGTACGGGGAATACGGCGGGGGGTGAAGGGGAGAGGAAAGAAGGGGAAACAAGGGCGAGGGGGAGAAGGAAGAGAGATAGAGAGAAAAAGAGGAGAAGGAGAGAGGGAAGGAGAGAGGGAAGGAGAGAGGGTAGGAAAGAGGGAAGGAAAGAAGGAAGGAAAGTGGGAAGGAGAGGGAAGGAAAGAGGGAAGGAGAGGGAAGGAGAGAGAGAGAGGGAAGGAGAGAGAGAGAGAGAGAGAGAGAGAGAGAGAGAGAGAGAGAGAGAGAGAGAGAGAGAGAGAGAGAGAGAGAGAGAGAGAGAGAGAGGAGTGAAAGAAGATGAGAGGGGGTAAAAAGGAAAAAGAGGCAGAGAGAGGACAGAAAGAGAAAGAAGAGGGCGAATGAAGAAGTGGGTGCGAGTGGGTGCTAAATCGGTTGCGTCTGTGTTGATTCATGAGGAATACTGATCCCCGACCTAATATATATAAATATAAATATAAATATAAATATAAATATATGTATATATATATATGTATATATATATATATATATATATATATATATATATATATATATATATATATATATATATATACACACACATATATATACATATATATATATATATATACATACTAGATTCATGCTTTATCTACACATACAATGTTTAACGTGCATCATATTCTCATAAATGTTCAAAAAAATACAGAAGAGAGCGAGAAAACAAACAGTGAACGGAAGACACAGACAGACAAATAGACGGTCAGACAAAGCTTATTTACCCACCAATTAATAGGTCCCAGCGTAGACTTCAACCGCTAACCCTTTTCGAGATCGATTCCCCTCCTCGGCGTGGCTCTTCCTCCGAGTCATTTGCTCTCATGTGTTTATTAAGGCTACCATGTCCTACCTCCCCCCCTCCCCCCTATTCACCCCCGGTACATCCCCCTCCCCCCCTCCCCTCCCCCTTCACCACCTGCGCTACAGCTGGCGTCTCTCACGGCCACGAAACGATACCAAGGAATGAGGTATGTCAGGTTTTTAAGAATTTGGGATTTAAATGTTTATAGAAAAAAAAAAAACATGTCTGGTCGTCCTTCTATTCCCTTCGCTGTTTCTTTCTGTTTGTCGGCCTGTATGTGCGTCTCTCTCTCTCCCTCTCTCTCTCTCTCTCTCTCTCTCTCTCTCTCTCTCTCTCTCTCTCTCTCTCTCTCTCTCTCTCTCTCTGTCTCCGTCTCCCTATCTCTCTATCTCTCTATCTCTCTCTCTCTGTCTCCCTCTCCCTCCCTCCTTCCTCCTCTTACTCCCCCTACTCCCTTTCTCTCGCCCTCTCCCTCTCCCTCTTCCTCTTCCTCTCCCTCTCCCTCTTCCTCTCCCTCCCTCCCTTCCTCCTACTCCTTTCCCTCTTTTTCTCTCGCGCCCTCGCTCTCTCTCTCTCTCTCTCTCTCTCTCTCTCTCTCTCTCTCTCTCTCTCTCTCTCTCTCTCTCTCTCTCTCTCTCTCTCTCTCTCTCTCTCTCTCTCTCTCTGTCTCCCTATCTCTCTCTCTCTCTCTCTCTCTCTCTCTCTCTCTCTCTCTCTCTCTCTCTCTCTCTCTCTCTCTCTCTCTCTCTCTCTTTCTCTCTCTCTCTCCCTCTCTCTGCGGGAGGGAAAATGCGAGAGAGCATCACCTGGCCGACACCCGCTTCTCTCACAGGTAAATCATCGAGAGGAGACCAAGCTGCCGACGTCACACCGCAGGTCCCGAGGCCGTAAAAGTGCACAGCGTAAAATGCCATACCGTGACGAAACAAACAAACCATACGTAAACAAACACACAAACACGTGAAATCAAACAAAAAATGATGATGATGCAAATTTATCAAAACAATGAAAACCAACTGATTAGACTTTCTCGTCTCGGAGAGTTGGTGGAGCGAACA